AGGTGAAGGTGGTGGGGACAGGCCTGTGTAAAAAAAAATGGTAAAGGAGCGCGCCGGGGGGAGGCGGGGGGTGCAGGTTTGTGTTAATGGGAGTGGAAAAACCCTTTTTGGGGGGAAAGGGGGGGGCCTGGGGGGGGGGGGGGGGGGGGGGACCCCCCCCCCCCCCCCCCGAGATAACCTGCGGTTTTCTAATACAACTGGTATTCTGCAAAAAAAACATTATGTGGTTTATTGGTGCTGAAGTAGAGCAAGAGACGAGTGCACCCCCTCCTAAAAAAATCCTGGATCCGCCCGCTGGGGTAATCAGTTTTCTAACAGCGAACCTCTGTTTACCGAACCTCAGTTAAAACTTAAATTGCGAAAGACTGAAACCACAGTTCAGACAGTTGTGACGTTTCTGACATTAAACCGACAATCTGTCACACCTTGCTCTGGCATTTTCGTCATCCTTCGTTCGAAGTGGTCCTCAATGTGACTATAGCTCGACCCAACAAGCCGACGACCGACGTCGTGCTTGCTTTCTCGTTCACCGGAGAGCGCGGTGAAATAATAAAAATAGAATGGAAGAGAGTTGACAAAGTTGAAATAGAAACTAAAAATGGGCGTCTACAAGCTGGTGGTATTATTTGGCGCCATTCTCTGACCGGCTGTGCTCAGAATAGCCGCGCGCGCTTTTCAGTTGAATTTAATTCTTTGAATCATTCGGCATAAATTACATTCAGCATAATTATGCTATTCCCGCAAGTCATGCCATGCCACATGCCATTCCTCAAACTTATTCTGTATTTGACCCTCACCGCCCTGATATTTGCTAATAGGTCGCAAAACAACGTTTGTCCAAAGTACGTGGGCGGAATTAAACAGCCCATAAAAATGCCTGATGGAACGGCTGTGAACCCGCATAATTAACCATTCAATGTAAGCATCAAAGTACTCCCTAGAAAAAAATTTCTGATTTGATCAAAGTAAATTCAGCTTTCGTGAAATTTCCATGATTTGTAACCACTGTACTACTAAATAAAAGCTCCTCCGTGAGCGAACCTAGCTGACAAGGCTGCAGCAACGTACCGTTGAAATTTACCGTTATTTTTCTATTCAGGGCTTTAGAATACATTATTATAGTATATCCAGTAAAAGTTATCTCGCAGCGAAAAGTCAGAACGATTTTTGAACTGTTGGGCAACTACTGAAAAAGGAGACTTACCTTTGGTTAACTTTACAGTGGTAATAAGACAAGAAGTATGACTTACTAAATGATAACTGAAGACGCAACTGTTCGTCAGTGGTCCTAATACTTGGAAATTGCATTGATTGACACTTCAGATTAACGAGCAGACGCCAAGACCAAATAAGGGACGGACCATTAGAAAAGTTCTTATCTGTGTTCGTCCCTAGAGAAATCATCAAATCGGCACTGTATGAATCTTGAAAGGAACTTTTTACAATAACTAGTGAAGTAAAACAGGTCATTGAATAAAAATGGCCATAACAGTCCTTTTTCATAATTTGACTGATTTTGCTCTAATTAAGCTTACAATCCTGACCAACTTCATTAGTCTGCTTTTAAAATTCGGTGCGTGTCGACAGTGGTACAACAAAATCCCAACGGTCAGCAGTTGTAATAGGCCATTAATCTTAGCTTCTTTGCACTGTGTCAATTAATGGAATTGACAACTTTGAACAGTCATTACAGTGTTTCTGACTTCTAAGATTCATTCCACTTCAGCTAGATGAAATTGTTAAGCCGAAAAAATGAAGAAGACGCCCCCCATGATTGCTTTATTTTTTTGGTTGGTAAGTGATTGGCATTCATTTCGGACAGACGGTTAAATCATAGTTAATTGAGTGG